AACAAAGCCAGAATTATGCAAGCATGGGACACCTATACTGCCCATGATTAGACACTGAAGTGCAAATAAAATATACATGTATAATAGGAAATAGCCTAACAGTAATACATAATAGGAAACAAAGAGAAAAATTGACACACTGATTGACTTTTGGCTAATCCAGATTTACATAAAAGTAGAAATTTTAGGACAAATTAGACCCGATCCATTTTTTTGTAAGTACAATGTATTGACCAGTACTTCTTAGTATGTAAATTTGTCACATAACTTAAACCAAAATAGTGGGACAACACTAAAACACTAAAATATCAGAATCTGAGAATAACATGACAGATGGCAAAATCAATTCAATGTCTGTATTGCCTAGGTTGACCCACAATCTGTATAGACAAGTGTAATTTTTCCACAAGTTACTTTACAAATAGAACACTGTGAGCAAGTAAAGAAATGGTCCCGAGTAACAAGAGCTGACAGTAGGACTAGCCTGCTCGATTATTCTTCGTGTGATAGTAACACAAGAGTCAAGGTACCAACTTGCATACAGTATGCATTAAACATCATTCTGTCTGTGGATTGGTACTTTTCAGTATTTCAGTTAGTTGTCTGATCATTGTCAAATAATGAAACATTTCCACAGACATATTTAGTTCGATCCACCAAACTGAAGTTCCTGGATATTTTTTTATAAACTAGCCAGTAATTATTATTTTTTCCAAGTGACCAACTACTAACCTAATATATGATTTCTTAATCAGCGGTCAGCAGTGAGAGACAAATGACCATTAGACTACAAAGAAGACATCAATTTAAGTACTAATTGTTGTTCTGAACTTACCTTATGATCTTGTCTGTATCTAAATAGTGGCAGAATAATATCCTACGTATAAAACTCAAAATTGACCTTATACATCCTATCTCTCATTTAATAACTGGCAGTCGAGTTAAAAATATACCCGGGGCCACTATTAAAATAATAGCAAAACATGATGCAACTATATTGTATATGTACCTATAAAGGCAAACAAAACTGTATCATTGTTTATCACACAACAATTCAGAGCATGAGGCAAGATAAAGATGTATTTGATCTGTGAATAGAACTGGTATAAAGTTTACAGTGGATTGTTTTCTCAAATTTGAAAATGCCACATAAATATTGTATTTGTATATTAAGCTGAAATTTGAATTAAATAACTTCAAAACACATTATTCAAAATGAAGATAATGTAATAATTGTAATCTTTATACTGTTAAAGTGTCTAAGTTATAATTTTAGATGGAATATGTCTTGATGTATTAAAAATTGAAGATATAAACAAGTAACAAGACTCTAGCCTGCACGGAACTTAATAGAAGTTCTGTCACATTAATAAACCGTGCGCAGTCTTTACCCTTTCACTAGTATCAGGACTGGAACCTAAATAGGTTCTCGCACCCTTGCCCATCTGATGACACTCTATTGTCACATATGCCTCAATATGTCTAATAGGCTTTAAAAAGTTTTATATACATGTACAGATTCATCCAAAACTTGAGCCCTATTTAATTCTAGAATGACATTACATAAGAAATGGCGAAAATTAAACAGGAAAACTGTACTTGTCACAAACACTAACATTAATGCTTATAAATATTGGCATATTAACAAATTATACAATAGTAGTTTTATATTTCTCAGTTGAATGTCAAACTGACTTTAGCACCTGTTGCTCGTGAGTTAACCTGACATTGTCATAACAACAGTTTCTGTATAAATGCATGTATAAATAGAAACAATATCATGGTAAAAAGTATAAAATTGAGAAAATATAAACACTATACACTAAATGTGACAAATTAACAGAATGCAACAGGTACATGCATTAGAACATAAATATAAGTACTATATTGATAGAACAATTATAAAATAAATATATATACCAACAAATTGGCATGACATACAGATACATCCGTATCATATTAATAATAGTATAACTTATTGTATTGCAGTTATTTATCATTTATTTATTATATAGTGATATACTCAAAAACTTGATCAAAAAAATTTAACAAGACCATTATAGTGACCTTGATTTTTCATTCAAAATAAGTATGGCAGGTAGGACTTTCAAGTTCATTCACAACGAAGTTACTTGGTCAATGCACTTTTATTCAATGGCAACTTTTTATGATTTGTTTTTACAAGTCCTAGTGACTTTGACTTTTTGACCTGTAAATAAGTTTGGATGGTAGAGCTCATCAAGGTGCGTCCATGGTTTGAAATTCCCGAGATCAATGCATTTTAGGTCATGACATGAACACCAATTTTTCTTCAAAACTTGGAGCTAAAACAATTAACTTGTACTGATTGTACTGGTTATTCAACAACTTTAATATCCTATTCCACTTAATAATCATTAATAATAACTCATAACACTACCATGATAAAGATAAATTAATAAACTACTTTACTTGATCAGGAAAACATTGAAATTTCTCATGAATCCTTATATGATTATGTTTGCAACAATGTTGAAACTTGTTCATTTAAATATACCAGCTTCTAATCTGGAATATATGCCAATACATGTATATTTAAATGTTATTAACCTAATTAAATTACCATTAATACTTTCATATAATATGAATGCAAGACTTTGCAACAATCAAAATAAAAAGAAAAAAAAGAAGATAAATTCACTTGGCCTAATTTTACTAAGGCAAACCACATTTTTCTTTTTATGCTTTTGATTACAAGGAGTTGCATCATTCGAGTCTTTTAACCACACTATTAAACAGGAATCATTCAGTACATTACTAATCTTCAATCTACCCACATCAAATAACAACACTAGTTTCTTTCAATGATAACTCCGATTGTTTTTTTAGTTATTTTCAACTTCACAGCGATATGTTAACTTTGTCAAAATATTATTCATGTACATGTATTATGGTAAAAAAACATGTTGTTAACACTAACTGAATAAACACAAACCTCTTTACTGTATCATTTGACATGGGTATCCGGGTTTTGACTTGTGAAGATCAGCACACATTTGACACCTGATAAAGTCTACAGTAATCAGCTTTACTTTTTTGTAACATGAAGATGATTCATGTAGTCAAATGACACAAGGAAAAACAGATTTGGCTCATGAACATTTTGGCGGAGGAGTCTTTGTCTGGTGAAATTCTGACCTGATGATTATACCTAGCGTATGGTTAACTTATGATAATTTAGATTTTACTCCATACTAACAGTAATAAAGCTTATAATATTAATCAACAGCCCCTATTCCACTCTTTTTGAAATGATAGAAAAAGAAAACTGAGTTACCCAGGACGATAGAAGTTTGTTATAAATAAACGGAAATTGGAATAATTCTTAACACTTTTTGAATATAAATCCCAAGTGGTAAAAGTATGTATGTAATGCAATTTTAAAAATCCTTCAATGTTTTATTTTTTATCTAAATTTAGTAGATAGAGAAATACTGCATGATTAATATCAAGAATATTTTTCTCTTTAAATCTCATGCAAATTTTTGAAAATATAAAAAGAGTATCAAATATTTTTTTGCATTATTACTTAATTAACAAACAAGTGGAAATTATCACCAATTCTCAATAATACAAAATTATATAATCCCTATCATGATATATTTAAATAAAGTTGATCGTCAATTACCGGTAGTTAGATTAATCATTTTCTCAAATATCTTTAAACACCCCACAAATCTATGCCTGATATTTTCTTACTTTAACCTTTTCCTAAAGTTCAAGTGTTGGCGGATTGTTAATATCCCTCTGATAACAACCATTTAAATTTATAAGTCTTCTTCCTATTTAATAACTTATAAAAGGTCATCAGATTTTTTTTCATGATAACTCTAATAGTAATTTAAATAAATAGTCTCACTGTAAGAAATGACACTAAGCTAGTACTGTACACTAAATAAACCCTTTGCTTTTTATTAATTAAGGAGGTTTATGGGAGTTAACTGGAAAGGGGGATGGGGAATGACAGTCCAACATCCATCTTAATGATAAACAATATCTGCAAACAGTTACTGTGATGTAATTATTTCTTTCAATGTTAAGACTCAAGTATTCATGATTAACAAACACTTTAACTCTTGAAGATGCCATGTCACAGTGTAGAATAATGTTCACTAATTAGGGGAGAAATTTTGTAAGCGAACTGATGGCTAAGTTGAAAAAGTTGTTGAATGTTTATGATGACGTCCTAAAGCTGGATTCTGTGATTTTACTGTTCTGGGTCAGAATCTCTCTAGAGGGGAGATAATATATATATATATATAATATATTATATAATATCTTAATGCGTATTATACAACGAGTTGGACTATCAAATTATATACTGACTGTCCTCAGACTTACACATGAGGGTTGGATGCTGCAGCAGCTCATTCAGACTGCACATTTGTCTTACTCCCAAACATGATAACATGATGCTCTAATAAACTACTGAAGCTTATATTGTACTTTTAAAAGTACTTTTCAGTTTTATCATCAAAACTTAATAGGCTCTAATTAATCAATTATCATTAATTGGTTTATTTAATGAATGTCTTCAGTGAATATGTGGTTGACATAAGTTAGTAATTAATATTTGTAATATGAATAAATGACAGATAAACATATATAATATATTTATAACAATTCTATTATAAAATAATACACTAAAAAATATAACCAGTGTTCAAATTATAACAACTTAATTAGCATGACAACTAACAATTTAATAAATATTTTGCGTATGAATAAAACTGCAAAAACAACCCCCGATCCTTATTACGTAACAAGAACAATAACTTTAACATAACGGTACATGTATCTATGTGATCACACGCCGGATCAGTGAAGCCTTGGAAAATCTAGGTCAACTCCCAATTTGTGTCAATTACCGCAACATTGTATGTCAGACAATTAGTGTGCACGTGTGCTTACAAACAAAACAAATTGCAAAGACAAAACACACAAGATAACTTTAAACTTACGCATAGAATATAAAACTGCTTCTTGAAGCTCTATCGCATTCCAGTTTATTAAAACACTCTTATTTAACTTCTAGACGGATCACATTTTCCACTGACCTAGAAATCAACCAATGACTGTACAGGAAGTAAACAATTCTCGTGTAGGCTGGTACCCGAGGTTACACGCAGTTCACGGTTATGTTCCGGTTTACAACTTTGTGCAGAGCGGAAACAAGAAGAAGTATCTTAAACAAGAAGTATCTTTGAAAAAAGATACGCGGCCGAAGTTAAACTGGTTAACTAGCACTTAGTTTTCCATGCAAACTTATATAGAAATGTTAGCATACTGATAGCTTGTATATCAATGTCATAATGATTTATAGTAGGGTTATCAATCTTGAAAAAATTAAACACTTATTTATATATAAGTTTAGAACTATCTTAGAATGACAAGAACTATTATTTACATTTTATATTAGACGCTGGAAAATTATACTTATCCGCGCCTGCGTCAATTGTCGTTCTATTGGTTCCGTAACGTACGCTTATTGATAGGTCCAAAACAATTTTAAAGAAATTTTTTTAAAGTTTAACATTGGTTTTTAACATTTTCCTTTCTGTCAAATTCCCACAAATCACTTCGTCTTTATTCTCTCACAAGTAGATCTATGTGTTATAATTTTATATTTATATTTTCATATGCACATATATAGTTCACTTATTTCATAGACCTTCTCAAGTTGATTTTAAAAAACAACAACATGTTTTGTCGTTGTAGTTTTCTTTAAAAACTGATAATAGATAGGCAACATTTAGATCACAGGCGTTCGGCGTTATGGTAAAGTTATCATAAAACAATCTCCCGTTGATCAACAAGAACAAAATTACAATACATTACACGTTAACTATATATAATTTATGTATATGATATAATAGTAGTTGTAAATGGGTATTTGATATTAAAGAACATTTTCTCGAGCGGACGCAACAGCAATACAGGAAGACAACTTCATCATATTGTCTCACAATTTGAAGACGAGTTACTTCCCATGTCACGATACGTGCTTCAGCGAAAACTTGATTTGTTTTTTTGGGTTTTCTTTCAAATGTTGTTTAAAAAAAAGAAAAACAAAAATTTAAAAAGAAGTCATTCTCTTTGAAATTTTTAAAACATAAATCATTTACCTAAATGTTATCAATACCAAGTTACAAGACTGTTTATACTAACACAATTACTTATTGATTCCATCTTCATCTGCTTTCCACGCTTGTTTTTCATAATAAATTTGCATTGTAGAGTCTACCTTGGACATTTTATTATCTCGAGAGATGTAATGATATTATAGGGCCTAATTAAAACTGAAAACAGTAAAAAAATGAGTGACAAAAACATATAATAAATAAGAGGAAATAGAAACTGCAAAGTAAAGATATTTTCTATAAGCAGTTAGAACAGGAAAAAATGGAAGAACTTAAAATGCCTCAAACGCAACTTAAATGAGAGAGAAAAAAGTCCTTTTCGTTTAAAGCAGCCGGTCATACAATTAACTAACGTTACTGCCGTTCGTATAATTTAGGTAATCCTCGGGTGTAGGAATATTGTAATTATATAACACACTCAACTTTTTGCTGAGAATCAAAACTTCATAATAAATTGGCAGTTATCTATTTTGCATCAGTGTTTTGAATTGGCCAGACATATGTCCTATTTGCGAGCTCCTCTTCAGTCAGTAAACGTCAAAATCATTCCCGGTCAGGAAGTTTTTTTGTCTATCTTCAGGGCTGGGAATCAAAACTGCGTCGTATCCTACAAAATGTAAACAAACGCCGCCATCTTGGAACGAAAAAGGTATGTTTTCGTTGATAACACTTTTTGTTGGAAATGACTGAAAACCAGGTATATGTATTAACACGCTCCACTATTTTCCGGTTCGTTCGGTATATGTTGCTTGAACAACTATTTTGTAAAACAAAAGTTATAGCGAACTTGCAACTCGAAGCGGGCCAGAATTTTTATGAAGTTTTGTGGATACGACGCAGTTCATATTGCTTTATCTATATTTTATCCTTCAAATCAATTATATACTCGTTTTCAGAGTTCACCATAAACTTCGAAATATTATTTTGCATCATTTACTAAAATTTCATTAAAAAGAGATGTTTATTTTCCAAGAAAATAATGATTTGTACGAAATGATACGACGCAGTTGAAATTAAGATATGATACGACGCAGTTCTATTTTTGGCAGTCTTTTCAACAAGGATAATTTTGGCAATATATGTCTATTTTACGGAATAATCGCTTGTGCTAGATAAAAAAGCAGATTATTCACGGTTTATAACAATGTTTTGTTGCTTTTGATTATTTAGAATACATTGTGTGATGTCCAATAAAACATTTAATTTGAATTTTTAAATTGCAGAAGCTACATTTAACCATGAACATGTTACTTAATTTATCATAATATCTGAAATAATTGTTAATGTTTTCTTGTATGTTTAGTATTATTCCTTTTTTGCAAAAATAAAGAGACCTGTAAACTTGAATCACAAACTTCATTTTGGCTAGCTATGCTCTTAGTAAAATGTGGTTCTGTATGTTCTAAGTAATGACTGTTTTTTGTTGTTTTATTTCAAACTTTCACTCTACCATTTAGCTTTACTGGGGACGAGTACCTCAGGTGCGCCTTTATACATAACTTCAGGCAAAATGTTGCACCTGTAGAGAACCATCGACATTTTGAAACTTGCTTGCTAGGTTTTCCACGCGAAAGAATCAAAAGTCCTTGGTGGTTTTCGAAATTCATAGCAGTTCAGTGTAAGTGATTTGAAGACAGTAAACATAAAAAGCTCGGCCTCGGTCGGACACACCTTTCTGTTTTTTTTTGTTGTTTTTTTTTTGTTTGTTTTTTTTGTTTGTTTTTTTGTTTGTTGTTTTTTTTTCAACATCTTAAATGTCAGTTGTACAAATAAGTAGGTTTTTTTTATATAAACATTGAAATTAATTATAAAGACAATAAAGACAAAAACATTTAAATTTCCTATTGAAATAAAATATTTTATCGATCTCTAAGCTCACCTTTTACTTTGGAATTTCGTTTTAAAAAAAGTATGTGTCAGTGGTGTGAATAGCAGAGAAAGTTTCAATGTAAACATGAAGTCATTTTTTGAAAATTTTTGTTTTATGTGTCCGGCAATTCATTATCAAATACAAATCGTACTTAAATATGAAGGTATGTTAAGATGCCATGTCTCTAGTCTGTAGAAAATTCGATGCGATAATCTGACCTAAATTTTCTCATCCCGGCTTTAATTCAATATAATGAAAACTTCTCCAATACTATTGAATCATCGTATCAAATGTATCGGTTCGAAGCGTAAAATACCTTTGCAAAACGGACACCTTCTTTACAAAATAATTTATAGTTTTATCATTTGTAACTCTATTTGAAATTTTATTTTTTAATGGGGATGAATGATACTATGGTGCAAAAATAGAAAATACATTTCGTAGGTGATAAAGAAATGCAATACGACAAAATCAGCGTTAAAATGACTGAACCCCTACTTGCATACCCTACTTGCAAAAATATATCGAAGCTTAACCATTTATAATATAATTTTAAAAAGTTAATGATCATTTAAATGTTTTAAATGATAAAGGTTATCTGTTCTCACCGATTATTAAGAAAATGAATACAATAAAATCGGCACGTAAAGACCTAAGTATATAATAACGGAATTGACAGATATTGTTGTTGATTTTAAGTAACAAAAGTAGGCATGCATGCATTTGCGCATACCTCTCTTCCGATAGGAAATGACCTTTTTTCAAAATTTGTAATTCTTTCTTTAAAAAAAAACAACAAAGGTCATTACTGATTGATACAAGGTCCACGAGAGGTTACTCTGGATATCAAAAGACTGCAAATGAAAAATACCCCATTAGTTTCGAACTCACGGCAACAAGTTTACTCGTATAAGCATTCTAACGCAACACTAGAACATGTTTTCAATGGGTGTGCGATGACTTGTTTCAATGTATATTGCATTTGATACAGCTTTCTGGAATGTGTAGATGTTTATGACAGGTGCCAAAGTGGGACCGAAAAATAAAGCCTTTATAAAAAAAAATATTACATTCTCCATTTTCTTGGAACCAATGAGTGACCTCTGCTTTTGACTTGAGTTATAAACAAGAAATGTTGTTGGACGTTACTACCATACTTAACGCATAATTTAATAGGTGAACCAATATGCAGCCTGCAATGAAAATACAACTGCGTCGTATCATATTTTATTTTCAACTGCGTCGTATCATTTCATACAAATTATTATTTTCTTGGAAAATAAACATTTCTTTTTAATGAAATTTTAGTAAATGATGCAAAATAATATTTTGAAGTTTATGGTGAACTCTGAAACGGGTATATAATTGATTTGAAGGAAAAACCGATTGATAAAGCAATATGAACTGCGTCGTATCCACACAATTTCATAAAAATTCTGCTCCGCTTCGAGTTGCAAGTTCGCTATAACTTTTGTTTTACAAAATAGTTGTTCAAGCAACATATACCGAACGAACCGGAAAATAGTGGAGCGTGTTAATACATATATCTGGTTTTCAATCATTTCCAACAAAAAGAGTTATAAACAAAAACATACCTTTTTTGTTCCAAGATGGCGGCGTTTGTTTACATTTTGTAGGATACGACGCAGTTTTGATTCCCAGCCCTGCTTGAGGCACTAAAGGAGAAATAGCCTGGGGTTGTTTGGCCTATCTTGTGACACTAAATGAGAAATGGGGTCTTTCTTTTGGCACTAAAGGAGAAATGGTCTGTATTTTAAACCTATAAAAATACGAATATCGCCATTGATGCAGAAAACATTTAAAGGTCTCACAAGTGCAATAAATGTAATTCGACCTTAGAATTTATTTGGAATTTAGATTTTCAAGAGAAAAGCTGCTTACCGTTTTTGGATACCTTGCCTCCCAATATGAAATTTTGTAATAGTTAGTTTGCAAAATATTAACCTTACAAAATCATCATTATCAAACTGAAGCATGGTGTAAAATCTGTATGTCATATGTGTTGAACAACCGTGCAGTCGTATTCTGCAAAGGGGGCGTCCGTGGCCGAGTGGTTAAGGTCGTTGACTTCAAACCACTTGCCCCTCACCGCTGGGGGTTCGAATCCCGACAGGGACTTTTGATTTTTTCATGTGAGGAAGCTATCCAGCTGGCTTACGGAACGTCGGTGGTTCTACTCAGGTGCCCGTTCGTGCCTGAAATAATGCAAGGATGCAAGGAGGGCATCTGAGGTCTTCCTCCACCAGTAAAGCTGGAACGTCGCGATAAGACCTATTCTGTGTCGATGTGACGTAAAACCCACAATAAATAAATAAAGTATTCTACAAAGAAATTATCAAACTATTCTAATGAGTGTACATGTATTGTTATTTCGGGCATACAGACGGACGGGCACTTGTGGATAGTTAGGATATTTTCTTACTGTTCCGAAAAAAAGATATAGTTTATAATAAACCTTATTATATTGCAAGGAGACAACAACAGTGTTGTACTTCAGTCTGTTGTTTTATGCACTTTGTTGTGACATAACGGTGATCGCTATCTTTTACTTCATTCACACAAGCAGTCTGTTAGTCCCAATCAAGGACACTATCTTAAATGTATTAAAGTTATACACGTTGTAAATAATCAATTTAGGAATTGGCAAAAAAAAAATAAAAAAAATATTTATACAGAAAGTTTATGGGACTGGAAGGGGCAAATAGGTCCAGGTCCTAGTCAGGACCTCAGTTGGAAACTCCATGGATTTGCATTTAAAACCGAATTAAAGAACCTTTCCATGTTATTTTGCAGGTTCATTTTCAAGCAACTGCAACCTTAGATTTATTTTTAGCATTAAATGGTGATTTTTCAAATCTTTAATAACTATTATGCGCTGGCCAAGCAATTCCTTTTTATTGTCCGATTGTGAAGCCTTGAAGGGAAAAATGCCCAATTGCTAAATGCCACAGGGATAGGACGCTTTGATCTGATATTATCCACTACCGCTTATCCCTCCCCTCCCCACCCCCCACTCCCCCAGTTCCTATTACAACACCCAAAATATGATTTAAAGTCAATTTCCACATTATCATATCAAAGTGTCATATCCCTGTGCTGCATGCAAGATGTTTTTAAGATGGTCTCGTCATGGTCATGGAAAGCTTGCACCCTCGTTATTTTTTGTTGTTGTTTTTTTAGTGGTAGCAGAGACGCATTTTTGTTCTACAATGATTTTTGAAATATATGATCATTCCATGGCAGTGACAGCAGCAGCAGACCGATTCTTGATTATCCAGGCCCGCCGAGGACAGTTTGCAACGGCAGCACATTTTCCTCTAATCCAACTTATTTAACTTGCAAGAGACAATCAGGAATATTGCTGAGCACGAACGGTACGGGGGTCGGTCAGTAATGATGTGGAAAAGCATCAGCTGGGACAGGTCGACGGCTTAATATCGTTGCGCTAAATAGAGTCAGCATACATCGATGATATGTTTAGACGTCAAGGTTAGGCTGTATGCATGGGCAGTGGGCGACCATTTCATTTTATTGGACGACAATGCGCGTTCCTACCTGCAGAGGTAGGTTATTGAGCCCCATGACTAGTGTAAACGTATGTCAGGATGGGGAAAATAAATACAATTTTTATACAGTTTTCTAAGTTTATAACAAGTATTTCGGAAACAACAGTGTCTAGTGAGTTAATAATACTGGATATAAATGCATATCAAGTTACAAGTTTGGATAACTATGTCGTTTGTAAGATGTTTACTGAATTTGAACTTTGGCGGTTTTAAAACTTTATTATCTACTTGGAGGTCAAGATTGGTTGGGTTCTGACTTTTATAAGGTTCTGTGTTTGAAATCCACCAATGAAACACCAGAAATCCGGAAATCCTCCAATGGATTTCTGAATCTGAAATCTTGGATTTCAATGGCGGCCATATTGAAATCTCGTATAAAACCTGCATACGAAAATCATAAAAGCTACATGCCTCCAGATGAGTCAAAATATTTCAATAAAATCAAACTTGAGAAAAATGTACTAAGATGTAAGGAAAAGTAAAAAGTTTCAAGATTCAAGTAATAATTTACATATTTTGTGCGATTAATAACTGATTTTTTTCAGTATTTACAACTATATTTCTACTGCATTACTAACGCAGTAAAGGCTATTTAAGCACATTTTTACCACTTTTTTGTAATATACGTGATTTGTAAATGCCATTGATAATGTGTAAATTGCTTCCCTTTGGTTACTTCACAATATTACACATTCAAATACATTTTCAAAAATTTCATGAAAATAAGCATGAACCTGGAGGCGTGCTGCTTTAATATACAAAAACATGTAGTGAATACTTAAGGATTTCTGACCTTGATCAATCATAAACTTTACATAAATTACGTTCTTGAATTGAATTTGACTGAAATTGATATTAACAATAAGAAATCTTCAATATAAAATATGAACTGACAGATTTCATTGGACGTCTGCTATACAAAAAATGTAAAGAGAAAATCAGTTTTCTGCTATACATAAAGGTAAGTTTAACATTTCTATCAGCCTAAATTGCAAAGTCAATAAGTGTCAATACAGTGTTCCTTCAGATCAATCAGGTAAGTGAATCTTTTTCTTGTAGAAGTCAACAATATATGAAGCTATAGGATTTCACAATGTCACTTGGATTTTATTACAAGTTCTGTTGTAAGTACATTTCAGAATTATGCTAGAATGTCAGATCCTTACACTAGCCAACTCAAACAATCGATTTAAATCCAATCGAGCACATATGGAATGAGCTGCAGATAAGGATATCAGCTCACCAGGTGCGACCAAGAAGAACCCAGGAGCTTGAGGCGATGTTGGTGCAAGAATAGGCCGCCATTCTCGCAAGGGCTGTTAGAAACCTCATTGGGAGCATGAGAAGTTGCCAAGCAGTTGTCTTCAGCAATGTACACATACGCTACTATTAAAGTGCCATCTTATCCTTTTTATGAGTGAGTCAAAAAAGAATTATGGTTTTGAACTTGATTTTGCCAGTCCTTTCTTTGAATATTTCTGATCTTGACTTGAACACGAATGTACTTGTACTGGTGCTCTACTAATAAGTAGTGTACAACAGCGTTACAAAGTACTCAAGACTTCTGTATAAATTTCACAAATGTTAGAGTACCAGCAGGTGACGTAAAGTCTTTAGCCCATGTGGATGAGACAATGTTATTTTTAAGGTTGTACATTGTACTACATATACATTTTAAGAAAATTTGACCCAATTTTGATTCAAGGAAAGCTATGTAGAGAACAGGGGAAAATTTGACCCACTTTTTCACTAATGCAGTAGTGCCAAATGAATTTTGGGGTCAAGGTCATATTTCAGCATGTCAAATGAAAGACAATGTGCAAATGTGTCTAATGTTCAGATACAAAGGCCATAATGCAATAATTCAAAATAAGTGTTCTTACTTGAAAAATATTTAGGTATTTACTGCATTATATATAGCTGTTAAATCACTTTTCAGTCCATCTCCTTGAGTAACTACTATTGGTGTCATATACATGTATATTGCATTGATGGAAAGTAATTTTCAGTGTATGACTCAACCAAAGAATTCTAGGTACATAGGTACACATGTTAAAATGTATTCTTACACTACCTGTCAATGATAATCTTAAAATGTATTTAAGTATATGAATAAGGTTCTTGTTTGATGGCCTGCTGGGTATGTCTAATCTTTTTGTTGTGTGAGAAAAAATTCTGCCAAGGAAATGAACCGAGGGGCAGCAGTAGTTTCCCTTCATGCCTCCAGCTGGTAAGTTACCATATTAAAGTGACAAGAATGTTTAATCCCAATCCATATAAATAATTTATGCCTTACTAATTTTACTTATGCATACTGGTAAAAGGGAGATAACCACAACAAAAATTGCTTAGTTACACACAATGATTATGTCATCTTTAATAATTATAATTGCCATTTAATGGGTAGATGACGAGACATTGCAACGCTTAACAATTATATTTCTTTTTTGATTTACATGTATAAGTATCTTTCATGGAATATTTTGTCGGCTTAAACCTAAATGTAACATACCGGTATTCATACCTGTGTTATTTACAAATTCTGTTAGGTAGGTCATTACCTTGTTATATTTGCAAACAAAAATTCTCTGCTAACTTATTGGAATTTATAATGCTTAACATTACATTATATTTGAACTGTTTGACTATTAATTGTATTTATACAATATTATGTTGAATAAAATATATGTTCTGTTACATGTATGTATGTTAAATAAGTATTACATATGTCACTGCGTAAACAATAAAAATATATCAACAGACAAAATATTTCATATTTTATTTTATTTAAAACAAAATAAATACTTCGGAACACCACTATCTGTTGTAGGGCTATAATTGATTAACATGCTTGCATAATTAAGAAAATCAAAATTTCAGATATACGTTACTACCAAATTGATTTACCAAATACACTGGTATACCTTATACACTGGTATATATCACATACAAAGAGAATTTAACAGTCACAAAATACTTTGGACTAGTTTTACAATCAAATAATGTGTATTTCAAAACAATAAAATGTCACCTCAAAACAACATTGAATATTGGTCAGCAAAATGTGCTGATATTTTTTTCTTGTTTACCAGAAACTTGCAAACATGGTTAATTTTGTCATTAAAGGTCACACAATAAATCCAGACTTCCGTTCCTATAAAACTGGTCCTCTTTTCCATATTCAAGAAGTCCTGTACTTGTATACAAAAAACAGGTACCAGCCAAATTAATTTAACAGTACCAGTGAAAGACTGATTTCAATATATTTCATCACTTAATTGATAACACAATTAATTACAGCACAGCTTTAATTACAGCCATGATTACAATCAGGTAAATATTTCAAACTGATCATCCATGACATAGATTGGGTTCACAGTTAGCACTTTTCAAAACCATATAAAATGATAGAATAGCAGGTGTAATGCCAAAATCTCAAGTAGTAAATCAACTGATTCCTTTTGAGCATTTGTCTGATGACTGGATGGATTATGGGACAATTCCTTTAATCCTGGTTTGAATTATTTCATCTTGGGTACCAGTCTGATTATTTTATTCAGGGTACCAGGCACCAGTCACATGACTGCTATAAATGATTTAATTTTGGGCACCAGTCATATGACTGGTTCACAGCTAATGCTAACTTTTGTCTAAATCTTCCAGGCATTTTTTCATATAACTAGTAGAGTCTGACATGTCTGATACAGCTGAATAGACCATTTCATAAAATATCTGGGGCCATATTTTGTTCAGTTCATTACGTTTTCTGTCTACAAATATGGCCTCTTTTGTCATTTCATTTATATAACTTCTCGCAAAAGTTCTCTTCCCTTGCAAGTCCTGAAAATACAAAACAAAAATATATATATAAATAAGAAAGACATGTTGGTAAATCATGTATGCCCCTTATTGGCAGCCAATTGTGGCCAGGTTATTGAGATTGACTTTTGACTTAGTGACCAAAAACTCAATGGGGTTATCTACTGGTCATGACTTGTCACTACATTGAGACCGTAAAGGTTGTGTGCAGCAATTTTATGACAAAGTTATCACAAATCATACCAAATAATATATGCATTAATTTTATGAATCATGTAGGCAACCTTAATGACAGCCAATTCGTTAACAATGGGTTGTCAAGTTATTGATAGGAAATTATATGATATACAAGGTCAATGTGTCCTTAACCTCTGATCCCTGACCCCAAAATCAATAAGGCATATCTACTGGCCAAGACCAATACACCTATGCAGTTTGAGGGCCAAGGGCCCATGGGTTACAAGTTACTGATAAGAAAACATTTTTACTTACAGGGCCAATATGACCTTGACCTTTGACTGGTTAACCCCAAAATCAATAGGGGTCATCTACTTGCAAAGACCAAAGCACCTACAAAGTTTGCGGGCCAACAGCACATGGGTTGTCAAGTTATTGATCGGAGACCGTTTTTACCTACAAAGTCAATGTGACATTGACCTTTGACCATATGACACCAAAATCAAGAGGGGCCAAAACCAATGCACCTATACAGTTTGAGGGCCAAGGACCCATGGGTTGTCAAGTTATTGATCAGAAACCCTTTTTACCTACAAGGTCAATATGACCTTGACCCCAAAATCAATATGGGTCATCAACAGGCCAAGACCAATGCACATGTGAAGTTTAAAGGTCAAGGTCCCATAAATTTTTGAGTTAAAAAATTGGAAAACATTTTGACAATCAATGTCAATTTGACCTGAAGAAACCATTTTAAATAGTGGAGCTATTGACCGACAAACAGAAAAATGGAAAGCAATATACCCCCACTTCTTCAAAGGGGGGCATTATAAATAATTCAACTTGCTAAATAAAGCAAAACATACGTATTGATAAGATAAGAAACAGATGAGTGTGATCTTTTGGAATAACCTTTGACCTCCCTTTTATAATGCTTCAAGTGTGACAGCTTCATACTTAACAGGCTATAATTAAACTGTTTCTATGAGTTTCAGCTATCAAGTTTATGGAATTAAAGTGTTATACATGTATATGAAAAATATGGATTATGATTTGTGGAAAATGGAACAAGTATTATGAGGATGTTTGGTACTTGATACTTGAAGGTGATTTAATCAACTACAAACTGTGACTTTTATGAAAACACATGCATTGCTTTGTTTGAAATATGTGGACATCAGCTATAACTTTTATATTACAATGGCGCAGTAAGTAGATAAATAGAGGATATTGAATGGGTGAAAATACTAAATTTATTGAACAGGTTGAATAGAATTATATCATGCAAGCCTCCGGGAGCATAATATTGTTTTATTCAACAAGTTCAATAAATTTAATATTTAATCTACACAAATATAATATAATTAAAATTAGAATGGTTTACAGTTAAAGAGTATTTTTTCATGACATGCCTGTAGTGTAATGCTAACATTAGCACACTTTTATGCTATGTTTATATATAATGCAAATGACATCATGTCAAAGTGTTATTTCAATAGTGTAATATTGTTTTTATTAAATGGGTTTGTTACACTCCTGCTCCATTGTTTATGTGATAAATTTTACACATTAAGCTGTTTAGTGATTATATATGCTGTTGCTGTGAACCTATATATGGTCAAAGTGAACAATTCATTTCAAATGAATGATTTATTTGTTTATATACACATTTCTTTGTGTAATCAATTATTTACTGCAGTTCTATACCTGTAACTACTAAACATAGTATCTGCCATCCTTAATGAGAGTCAAACCTATACCAGGAATGGGAGTCAAACCTATACCAGTAATGGGCATGTGATATAAAATCAGCCACCTTAACCACTCAGTCACTGAGGTCCCATATGTCAACAATGACCAAATATGAATTCCAATTCTTCAGACAGGAGTTGTGCGTAAGTTTTAAAGTTCTTATGAAAATTCTAATCAGTTATTCATTATCAAGCTCATTATTATTCAATTTCAAATGAAATTTGCACATGAGGAATTTGCACTTGAGGAATTTGCACTTGAGCAAATCATTACTACACAGTTCATGAATCATGCTAAATTTGAGTTGCTGCTTGATGAAATGCTAGTATATTCACACCCAGAATAATGCACTTAATTTTGTTATACATTTGACCAAAGTTTTCGGAAAATCCTTCAAGAGGTATAGGTTTTATTGAGCGGACAAAAAATTATCTGCCATTTGACCTTCAAGCATGACTTTGATAACATTTGACCTTCAAGCTAGATTTTGATGATATTTGACCTTCAAGCATGACTTTGGTGACATTTGACCTTCAAGTATGACTTTGATGACATTTGACCTTCAAGTATGACTTTGATGACATTTGGCCTTCAAGCGTGACTTTGATGACATTTGACCTTCAAGCATGACTTTCATGACATTTGACCTTGATGACATTTTACCTTCAAGCGTGACTTTGATAACATTTGACCTTCAAGTGTGACTTTGATTTTGGGCTGGCACAGCTGTGACATGGGTTCTGCTCATCCTCTTGTTAAGCTGAATATCTGAGCCAAGTTTGAAGAAAGCCCTTCAAGGTAAAAAGAGTAGACAAAAAATTGTCTTGACATTTGACCTTCACTTGTGACCTTGAACTTGAGCCTGCACAGCAGCAGCAAGATTTCTGCACATCATTGATTTAAAGTGAACATTTGAGTCAGGTTTGAAGATGTTTAGCATGGCATGGGTTAATGAATTCACTCTCAGCTGTCCCATATAAGGATCATTTGCATCTGAGTGGCTAAGCTTTTTAACGCCCGCCTGGGACTTCAGATTCTTCTATGTGAGCAGCTATCTAGTTAGCTTAGGGAAAGCTGGTTGTATTTTACTCCAATGCCAAGTTGTGCCTGATATAACTTACAAAGGAACATTTGAGGTCCTCCCCCACCTGTAAAGCTGGTAAGTCATCAATTACATTGTCAGAGTGATGATATAGTTAACTAACCTGCAGCCTACCACTATCTTGTGATCAGAGTGATGATATAGTTAACTAACCTGCAGCCTGCTACTATCTTGTGATCAGAGTGATGATATAGTTAACTAACCTGCAGCCTGCTACAATCTTGTGATCAGAGTGATGATATAGTTAACTAACCTGCAGACAACTACTATCTTGTGATCAGAGTGATGATATAGTTAACTAACCTGCAGCCAACTACTATCTTGTGATCAGAGTGATGATATAGTTAACTAACCTGCAGCCTGCTACTATCTTGTGATCAAAGTGATGATATAGTTAACTAACCTGCAGCCAACTACTATCTTGTGATCAGAGTGATAATATAGTTAACTAACCTGCAGCCTATTACTATCTTGTGATCAGAGTGATGATATAGTTAACTAACCTGCAGCCTGCTACTATCTTGCGATCAGAGTGATGATATAGTTAACTAACCTGCAGCCTGCTACAATCTTGCGATCAGATTGATGATATAGTTAACTAACCTGCAGCCTGCTACAATCTTGTGATCAGAGTGATGATATAGTTAACTAACCTGCAGCCTGCTACAATCTTGCGATCAGAGTGATGATATAGTTAACTAACCTGCAGCCTGCTACTATTTTGTGATCAGAGTGATGATAAAGTTAACTAACCTGCAGCCTGCTACAATCTTGTGATCAGAGTGATGACAAATAGGCTGCTACTATCTTGTGATCAGAGTGATGATATAGTTAACTTACCTGCAGCCTGCTACTATCTTGTGATCAGAGTGATGATATAGTTAACTGACCTGCAGCCTGCTACTATCTTGTGATCAGAGTGATGATATAGTTAACTAACCTGCAGCCTGCTACAATCTTGTGATCAGAGTGATAATATAGTTAACTAACCTGCAGCCTGCTACTATCTTGTGATCAGAGTGATAATATAGTTAACTAACCTACAGCCTGCTACTATCTTGTGATCAGAGTGATGATATAGTTAACTAACCTGCAGCCTGCTACTATCTTGTGATCAGAGTGATGATATAGTTAACTAACCTACAGCCTGCTACTATCTTGTGATCAGAGTGATGATATAGTTAACTAACCTGCAACCTGCTACTATCTTGTGATCAGAGTGATGATATAGTTAACTAACCTGCAGCCTGCTACCAACTTGTGATCAGAGTGATGATATAGTTAACTAACCTGCAGCCTGCTACTATCTTGTGATCAGAGTGATGATATAGTTAACTTACCTGCAGCCAACTACTATCTTGTGATCAGAGTGTTGATATAGTTAACTAACCTGCAGCCTGCTACTATCTTGCGATCAAAGTGATGATATAGTTAACTAACCTGCAGCCTGCTACTATCTTGTGATCAGAGTGATGATATAGTTAACTAACCTGCAGCCTGCTACTATCTTGTGATCAGAGTGATGATATAGTTAACTAACCTGCAGCCTACTACTATCTTGTGATCAGAGTGATAATATAGTTAACTTACCTGCAGCCTGCTACAATCTTGTGATCAGAGTGATGATATAGTTAACTAACCTGCAGCCTGCTACTATCTTGTGATCAGAGTGATAATATAGTTAACTAACCTGCAGCCAACTACTATCTTGTGATCAGAGTGTTGATATAGTTAACTAACCTGCAGCCTGCTACTATCTTGCGATCAAAGTGATGATATAGTTAACTAACCTGCAGCCTGCTACTATCTTGTGATCAGAGTGATGATATAGTTAACTAACCTGCAGCCTGCTACTATCTTGTGATCAGAGTGATGATATAGTTAACTAACCTGCAGCCTACTACTATCTTGTGATCAGAGTGATGATATAGTTAACTTACCTGCAGCCTGCTACTATCTTGTGATCAGAGTGATGATATAGTTAACTAACCTGCAGCCTACTACTATTTTGCGATCAAAGTGATAATATAGTTAACTAACCTGCAGCCTACCACTATCTTGTGATCAGAGTGATGATATAGTTAACTAACCTGCAGCCTGCTACTATCTTGTGATCAGAGTGATGATATAGTTAACTAACCTGCAGCCTACTACTATCTTGTGATCAGAGTGATGATATAGTTAACTAACCTGCTACTATCTTGTGATCAGAGTGATGATATAGTTAACTAACCTGCAGCCTGCTACTATCTTGTGATCAGAGTGATGATATAGTTAACTAACCTGCAGCCTGCTACTATCTTGTTGATATGTAAGTCCAGCTCGCCCAACAAACTCTCCCTGTGTTTTATCCATCTTCACTGTCCCATCTAAAATCTTACGAGACTTTTCTTCACTCATCGTTAACAACTGTTTCCGTCTAAAATTGACAAAAAATAATTTGTTCAAAACAATCTTTCTACTTTATGAAAAGTTATCCATTATCTTTGCAAATGTCATTTTCAATAGGAAAACATCTAAGTCACTGCAACTTCACTGTGTAGAAACACATCTGCATAATCTACGTCCTGTGATTGCAAAAGATGATACAAGTTGAATTGTGTGAGGTTGCAATATATAATACAGTGATAGGAAGTAAAACATGGTAATCACAATAACCCATATATACATTGTATTGTAGTCCTGCATTCTACACTGTGATTTATTTTGAATCCTTAGTATCTCTCAAGCCGCCCTTTTATGATCTGCAAAGTTATGTAATTACAGAGAATGTTACTGATGCCTAACAAATCTTCTATACAAAAAAAATAATAGAAATAATACTCTAGTTAACATCTATTTTACATGCACATAAAAATTAATGGGAATATGAAAATAGACGTACAGTACATTCCTAGTCTTCCCAAGCAAGAAAAGCTAACAAGTCACCGTATCACTTCAACATGGTTAGTGTGACTTAAAACATGACAAAATAAGATTGTAGCAAAAGTCATAATATATGTGGTCAACAGTTTCATATTCCTTCATAATAAAAATAATGAACTGTTACATCTTTGCCCTTGTTAATCAACTTTGTAACCTCATATGTCCCTGCATGCATCACATTGGCATGCTAGAGAAGAGTAACTGTTTCTCGTACCCTCAAAAAAAATTGAAAAAAAATCAACTTGTGGTCAGATATGGCTCTATATTGTAAGCTGATATTTTATATTTCAATTTTGAAATTCAACAATTTTAAACCAGGATAATTTAGCACATTTCATAAATTCTACAGGGTAGGTAGTGGTTAATCAGGTGAACTTATACTTGAGTCTGAAACTAAAAATACTTACGCCCCATTTTTCACATGGTTGGTAGTGGGAACCGATACAAATTTTAATCCTGTTTTAGACTGGTTCCCCATTTTAAATTCCTTCAAGAATGATGATTCTTTATTAATCACAAGATTAGCTTCATCTACTTTACCTTGTACAGCCCCCATTCATGTCTTAGTTTTTCACAAATTCTTTCTTAATATGTGTTTCCATTTCAAAAATCTTTTATACAATGTGCATTCAAATATCAAATTATCTGCCAGAAACTTAATTTAATTTAAAAGTATATCACAAAGTTCACAGAATAACTAAAACCGAATTCAAACATAATTTTCACACAAAACTTGATTTAATCTGTTTCAAACTGTAGTCGCATTGTCGAAAAGAGTCCACTGAAACAATTCTGCTTTATTTATTAAAAAGACTTTATACTTAACAGAGTTCATTAGTCATTTCTACCTTAATGTCATTGCCATGTTTTCATAATAAATTTGTCACTTATTTTAATTCTTTAACTGATGTTTCATAAAATATAACAAATTGACATCCAACAATAAATCAGATGTTGTCAATAATTTTCTCGATATAGTACGTAACAGTGTAGACAGAATGTGATGCTGACAATATCTTCCTATAATAATACAGACACCAAGAATTGATTGATTTACTATAGCTATATACAGTACAATTTGTTCAGATCTGATTCTAGGATATCCATATCTAATGAAATTATAAAATTCTACGGCAAATCATCATTAACTGGATCATTATCACCACAAGATTATCATCAAATCATTAACGTGTCGCCCACTTCACCTCATGCTTTCATCGATTTTATTATAAAAACGATTTGTAACTTCTAGTCTGTATTAGATACATGTATAGTCCTGCACATGTGAGATCTCAATATTTGTCACGTTCTATGTAACTGGTTACCTATGTTATAATGTCACTCGTATTTCTCAAAAAAAATTAAATACATTTTTTATCATATCCTCAATTAGTGCAATATAGGTGTCAGAATTTTATGTAGAATCATCTTAAAATTAATAGAAGTTGATGGAAAAAATTAACTGTCACAACAGAAATATATTTATATATATGCTTGTAAACAGTAACACTATAATTCAAACAGATTTCAACAGATAAGTCTCCTCAACATCTACCTGTCTGCTACTGTATAGTCACTTAAAATTTATCACAATTATTTACATTTGTAATTCCTTATTAAACACAAAACATTCCTTTTATCAACTTCACAAAAAATACAGTCAAATGAAGAATTGTTTCAAATCCATTATATTATTGTTTTAGCATTTTTTATCAATATGATATCAAATGCTACTACAATTTCTAAAGTTAACAATGAAGCTAAAAAAAACCACTACAACTTCAAATATAGTGCCTGTATATACATTGTACAATACTGTATAAAAGGCCAGCCAAATCTTATTTAAGATTTATTTTTCCCAATACACATTACGTATATAATGAGAATATTTTATTTAAGCCTCTCAATGGGCAATATGAATTATACATTATACTGTAAATACTACAATGCTAATCACGTATTATACCAATCAGTATTAAAATAACAGTCACCCTAATACTGACTTAAATAAATATCTAATAAATGATTTATAGAATCTTACGTTAAAGACTAACAAATGGCTTATAATAAAAAAATATGGGGGAGTCTCATTGACTAAATGATTAAAGTCATTGATATAAAAATCACAGGCTCGTGAAGCTCTCAGTACTGTGGGTTCGAACACCATTAAAGACTTTAAATTACTTAAGTGAGAAATCTATTCTATTCTACTCAATTTTGCAAAAAAATAGTTCAAGGCTGGGCACCTAAAGTATCTGTGCAAAAGCAAAGTTGGAAAACTGCCATACAATCATTAAAGAGCCAGTATGAAATCTAAAATTATTTTTTTCATAATCATTATTTGAACTGTACTGTATGCAGAAAATTAATTATTTATTTCATACAGTTGACAATTAAAACTCAAACTACCCTAATTCTTTCAAATCGGTTTGCTCTTGCTTTAAATTTAAAAATGTCAATTGTTATTTTCTAGGCCTTCAAAATTCTAACATTTAGTACCAGTCAATATAGAATCTGATCAGTTTCCCAAAGGTTGAGATCAGTCCTCAATCCTTTCTAATACATTACTGCTGCTACTGCTAGGTTCAGTACATTTATGAAATATTCAGTTTAAAATTATATCTGTTTGTGAATAAAAAACTGTATGTTCAAATTTAAAGAGACTTATGAGAGAATAAAAATGTTTTCTATGTACTTATTCTATGATAACTGCACATCTATGCTGTCAGTTCAGGGCTACACTAGCCAAAACATCAATGTAGTTGTGCTAAATTTTACATTTTATGTTTTGACCTATGACACGCAAGTTTAAGGGTCTGGAAGGTATAAAGCACCTTTGTTTTTAAAGTCCTATCTGAAAAAGTTCATAATATTTTTTAGATAGAGTTGGGTTGAACTTGTGAATCTTTTATTTGTAATTACATGTAGTGTTAATAATTGACAAAAGTGTTTTCTTTTCACACAGTTATGGGCCGGAAATACGGCCCCATTTGCAAAGCCAGTAAAAACAATGACATAAACAAGGCTTTTTCCAACACATGATAAAAACTATTTTTCCAATTTAGAAACTAAAAATAGGAATATATTTACAAATAATAGCATTACTGTATTTTCAAAACTGACATGGCCCTGGTCTGGACCCAATCACAAAAGACTGGGGACAAAACACTGCCCACTATGCCTGCTATAGGAGTTCCTTTATATGGTTTCATGCCAGTTATGAATTACATTGAAAAATGAAACACAGATGCCACAAAGACATCTCTGTATTGTATATATTTCCAGACTAAAATGTTCAAACAATTTGCCTAAATGAAAAAAACATACATCAAGACGATAAGTAACAAGCAAATTCGTTGAATTTATATCCCCCGCAGAGTACTGGTTATTACTAACACAACAACTGAAGACATAAGGCTTTATTTACATATATCTATCATGGTGTAAACAGTATTATTTTCTGTATACATAAAAATATTCAGGGCAATAACAGAGCCATAACTCTGTGTTAAATAGTTATATCTGGACATGCCAATGAGATGTAAATTGCCTTTTTGTATCGATGGTTCCCATACAGTTTTGTTGAAATCAATACAGCAGTTGCAAAGAAATAGCAATATTGCTTTATATGCATACTACATAACTAATCAAGGGCCATAACTCTGTAATGAAGGGTCTGGTCTGAACAAGGCAACAAATTATGCACATCTCCTCATGGTATTAATGTTTCCCATAAAGTTTAATTGAATTCCAGCCAGTAGTTGCAGAGAAGTAGCGGGGAAACAATTATTGCTCTATATGCATACTGCATAACTAAACAAGGGCCATAACTCTGAAGTAAAATGTCTGACCGGAACAAGGAGAAGATATGCTCATCTCTTGGTATTGAAGGTTCCCATAAAGTTTCGTTGAATTCCAGCCAGTAGTTGCAGAGAAGTAGCGCGGAAATGATTTTTGCTCTATAAGCATAACTAATCAAGGGCCAAAATTCGGAGTTGAATAGTCTGACCGAAACAAGCCACCGATATGCGCATCTCCTCTTAATATTGATGATTCCCATAAAGATTTGTTGAATTCCAGCCAGTAGTTGCAGAGAAGTAGCGCAGAAACGATTATTGCCCAATATGCATACTGCATAACTTATCAAGGGCCATAACTCTGATTTAAAGTGTCTGACCAGAACAAACAGATGATATGCGCATTTCTTATTGGTATTGAAGGTTTCCATAAAGTTTTGTTGATTTCCAGCCAATTGTTGCAGAGAAGTAGGGCGAAAACGATTATTGCTCTATATGCATACTTACTGCATAACTAATCAAGGGCCATAACTCTGAGTTAAAGGGTCTGACCGGAACAAACTGATGATAAGCGCATCACCTCTTGGTATTGAAGGTTCCCATAAAGTTTCGTTGAATTCAAGCGAGTAGTTGCAGAGAACTAGCGCAGAAACGAAAATCTGTGGACATCCGGCGGAAATAGGATAGAGGCCATTTTTTTTATTATTTCCTTTTGTTAAATAAGGGGCCACTGGCCCCTTACTCTATTGAAACTGATGAACTTCTCTTTTTTTCTGTTTTACAGTTAGATGGCCCTCTATCCCTATTTGGTAGTGCGGATGGACTGAAGAAGGGACGCCAAAACAATATCCCCCTCCTGATTCCATCATTGGACATAACATTTCACAGTATTTATGGGATCTTTCCCACTTATTTAATTATTTTAAAACCAAGCATTTAATTGATACCAAAAACCTTAAAGTGTATATGTAAGTGTATGTCATTACAGTTGTTTCCCTTTGTTCAAAATGTCTTTAATCATTTAAAAACCCATACTATTAACTATGTTTAACAAGCAATTATAATAGTATTCAAGCAATAACGGAATAGAACCCAGCAACATTCTGAGGGACCATGGCGATTTAATTGTGCCATTTTTGAAGACATGAATGAACATTATAAATATATTGAGTTCTTAGTTTATCTGTATCATGGAAATGTGTTAAGTTTCCCTGCCTTATAAGGAAATCATGTTTATAATTTTATGTTGCCTCACACTTCATTTCAATGTTGTTATATTTTTCTGGTCCTTCGGAATCATTGACTCCAGCACTTTTAAGTGTTGAGAATAAAGTACTGCTCAAGCCGGTGCTAGGGGGCTTGAGGGATGTTGCACTTTTTCATGTACAAACTCAATCAAACCTAGTCTGCAATTTTTATGTAATTTTGCTAATTTTTTAATGCTTCACTTTTTTTCATATCTTTATACATCAGATAATCAAAAGATCCAATTTTATAGGATGAATACGTATATTGTTTCATCTTTCACTATTTTAAGTGAATTTGTTGGAAAAGTTCAAAGTTCATTAAAAGTGATCGCAGGACGAGTAGGATACAGTCCAACCACAGTTATTCGACAACCATTTATTCGAATACCCGGCATTATCCAAAATAGATCAGCGGTCCCGTTTTTATCTCTATATAAATCAATATAAATACAAGCATATTATTCGAAATGCATCATCCGAATGCCTCCTATTTTTCGAAGTAAACTTTCGGTCCCCATTTTACAATTATGTATAAAAGAATTTCGCACCCAGACTAATTGCCACAGATCCACCCGCTGATTGTTCGACCTGTGAAAATTTTTCAACATTCATGCGTGTATTTAGAAAATCATGATAACTTTAAATACTGAAATTGAAAAGCTATGCACTGTGTCCGATGTTGTTACTATTATTGCTTGAAGATAACAGCGATAATTTTCATACATACTCTATATGTGAATTTGTCAAAACATCCAAAACATTTTTTTTACATTAATTGTAAGGCTACATGAGAGCCTTAACCCTAATCGAAAATACCAGAGTTATGCTGTAATTAAATACTGTAGTGACTACAAGGCCATTATCAAAGTTTTACACGGAACGAAACGATACATAATGTAGAATAAAATGCAAGTAATTATGTTTTCAATGCCAATAAAAATCATTTTTACACATCTTTTCTTTAATATTTATTTTTTATCAATTGACGGCAGGAAACAAGTGTGTTGTAAACGGTAGTTTTGCTATGATTGGCAAAGTGCAGTAATTTTCGTCTATCACAATATTCTGATTTCGATTTTTCAAACCCATCAATTATTCGAGGTAAATTTTCAGTCGCTAATGCTTTGATTAAACGGGGTTGGACTGTAGTTTGATTCTGTAGTTAGTCTGCACTGATAAGCCGACTAGGATGGTTCAATACTAAACTATTTTTAGACTGAAATAAGGTAAAACACTGTAACTCACCTTGTTTCCCCAAGCAATGAGAGAAGTCTTGTCTGAGGTAGTTGAGTGGTTGTTAAATTTGATATGGCACCGAACAATTTCTCTGCATTCATAACATCAGAAGCTGTTACCTGTAAATATGAAATGTTAATTATATTATCAGGGTGTTTATTTTATTGTGCACATTTAATAGGCAATATTGAATCATAACTTTGAAATTTGTTTTTTCCCCAAATGTTCCAATAAAAATTTCAAATCAAATCTGGTAATTGTTGTGAATGAGTTGGCACCCAAAGTTATATATACCATAAGAACAAATGTTGGTGACATATTAACAGTAAATTTTAAAGTTTTGCCAAATTTTGGCTATCTTTTTGGCAAGAAATCAAAAGCAGTAATTCAAGGAATATTTAGTTAAAGCATGTTTATCTCTCAAAGTATCAAGCTCACTAAAACATAAACATCTGTCCTAGGCATATATCATATTATAGAAAGGCATAGACTGCAAAACATGCTTCATAGGGCTCTTTTCCTCACAGCAATAATGATTATAAGAAGATAGTGGCCCCGGCAATATAAAACTTTTTTCTGAGTCTTGTCTGATATCTCAGGATTTTTCTTAATCAGTGAACAGTCTGTGTCAGTTTCTGACCAATCAAATTCCTGAGATCTGAGTTTGAGCTTAGTCTAGAGAATTTCTTTACAACCTAGAATGAGTTGTAGCAAGTCTTGTCATTACCACAAAAATCTTTTTGTCATATTTACACAAAAAACTTTCTGCCACATTACTGTCATAGTAACGTATGCAATCATTCTTTTTATTTATATTGTTTTTCTCAATAACTTGTTGAAGTTATAGCTTGCTTAAATTCGGCCTTATGCTGAATTAAGCCCAGAAAAACAGCAATAACACTGAGATAACATACCTCTACATTATTTATTCTCTTCAGAGCAAAATGAGCAAGCCGGAAGAGAAGATAACTTTTCCAGAGTGTATATCTTGTAACCGGGTTACCCTCAAGTTCAATCATTAAATTATCTAATCTACGTAGACTTGTCAGTGCATTCAACTGTGTAAAACTGCAGATATTTGTAGAACTGAACACCAATGTCTGAAAATAATAGTGTCATCAAAATACTGTTGCCTGTGACATACTTGTGTCATTTGTTGTAGAAAGGGACATACAATAAGACAAAATTATATCAAGAGTTACAGACCTTACATAATTATAAACTTATCGCAAAATAAATGTGAAATATTTGGAAATTAAAATCTGAAGTTCTAATGGCCGAAACAATCTGCGAGTATTCATAAACCTGGCAATGTAGGTCACCAAATGAACATGTATATAAGAAACATGTTATCCAAATGTAAAAAATCTTTAGATAATAAACATTTCTTCTCAGTACCTTACTTATCTGTTTACAATAAAATTATAACAAAAAATAGCTAAATTAAAAATTTTCACCATACCTGTGTTGCAGGAAATCTTGTCCTAATTTTTTGCAGATGTTTACAAATTTCATCAAAGTCTATAAATTTAAATATGATCACAGTTACTGCCCCTGCTGCCTGCATGCCCCAGTTTCTGTCTAGGGCTTCCAGGGATGGAGGTCCATACAAAGTTAATGTATCACCCTCTAAATCAGCAAGGTTGTTTAAGTTGGAAGCTTTATTGTCCGTCCTGCAAATATAGAAATTAACATAAATTATACCTTTAAATACAGTCATTAATACTGTCTGTAAAAACATTCTCATTGTGCTTAAACTGCAGGTTTCCAGACAGCAAATAAAGTTTGAAAATATTAAACCTTAGAAATGTATGAAGAATTCTCGAAGAAAAAAAAATTCACAATGCACATAATCCTTTACATTCTATGCAAAATGGTGCTCAATTTACAATTAAAATTTTCAAGCCATTCATAAACAGCGTGCCTGTTTAAACCATTTCTGCACAGTTTGACACATTGAAGGTAATTTAAGCTATTTGTACTTAAATCAATTTTATTTGTTTGCCTGACAATTTTTTAAGTATTTAAAACATTTTCTTTACTTCCATGAAAATTAGCATGAATCTAGAGGCATGCTGTTTTTAGAAAATTCCTCACTGACACATATTGTCTAAAAGCAGAGTTTTGACCATAATTAACTAAACAGGTGATGCTATTACATTAAATGATATTGATAATCCAGGAACAATATATTACCCAAACATCATGGTTTCTTTATACAAGCCACTAGGTTTAGGTTCTGGTCGACGCTGTTGTTGACTAGCAGTTCTCGGCCTCTCCCTGGAGTCACCACCATCTAGTGACATACTGTGTGCACTCCCAGGACGACTGTTAGCTCTACTGCTTTGTTTACTGAAATCATAAGTTGTCTGCCATCATAAAGACTTAATTAACACATACACTCTCCACATAAGTTCTCAGAAGAAAAATCTTTGTAACAATTTGACAGGTTAAATGTGTATGAAAAAAAAAAAAGAAATCATATGTATGTGTGTTTATAGCTGTCCAGATAGCTCAATAGGTAGAGAGTTTGAGTGTGAATCAGGCTACCCGGGTTTGATTCCTGGATGGCGCATGTCACTTTCATTGTGACTGATCATGAAATCTTTTCTACAGTCAATCACACTGTACATGTACCTCTGCTCTAGTTTGTACAGTAGTTTCAGTTCCTTGCAAAAGTGAGACAACTAGTACTGGTAAACTGCTCAACTGCTTTCCCAGGTATGATGTGACGGTAAATTCAATGTGGCTTTAACTGCCCTGATCCAGAGTGAAAACTACCAACACCACCACCTATGTATGTGATGAATTCATAATTTTCCTTACAATAATTACCTTTCAGTTATATAGGCCAGGGATAGTATCAGTAAGTACAACTATCAAGTCTCCACTCCCATACCATAAAATATACATTGACATGAAACCCCAGCCAGTCACATAACTGACAGTTAGCGGACTAGTCTGTGAATCTATCCCCTTCATGCCCATCATCCAGAAAACCAATTGCTTTCATCATTTTAAAATAATTTTCATTATGATCCAGCTTAGAATCATACACATGACCTACTGCATTAGAGGCAGATACTTAACCACAAAACCATCAGTGTCCATCAATAAAACAGGAAACACTATGGTTAGTTATAATAACCCTGTATTCAATAACTATCTTCAATTCAAATCAAAACAATATAACAATGTTACCTTGTTAGAGACTCTGACTCATCCCTACTCTCCTCTTCACCATCATTATCCGGTGTTACAACCTCCGAGTTTGGTACTGACCCGATATGGTTTGCGTATAGTTCCGGGGTACGAGTCATCTTTGAAGTTTTTTGTATAAGTGACCCCTGCATGACCTCCCACTGTCTCTTTGCATTGTTGATGGCAAGACGTCTCTTCTCCTATAATTGATACCAAAATAAAGTCAGTCTTACACACGGACTTCGAATACATGGACAAAATTGGTCCGTGTCTTATGAGTGACCATCCTTATAATGGAGTGAAATAAGTAAATAAAATCAGAATTGAAGTGTTCTGAAAAAATAAAACTATTGAAAAGTTCTAATATAGAAACAAATACATAATACATGTACATTATTTTATTGAACATTTTAACATTTATACCATATAAACACAGAACAATTTTGTAAAAGAATGTCAAACTTCAGATTTAAACAAAATAATGACATATAAAATTGAAATAGAAATAGTAACACGCAACATTAAGTGATTACAAGTTAAGATCTAAGACTTAATGGATTATACATGCATTCAAAATGCTTTTTATTTTCTAATGTAAGAGGGGTTCTACAGTCTATAATCATACAGTCATGCAAACACTCCAGATTTCCCATAATATGTACCGTATACAATATTGTATATAGTTCTATACATGCAGATATCCCTTCACAAATATAGACAACCATATATATATATCCTATATAAAAAGTATATATTACTACATGTATAAGACTAGCTGACCAAAAACCAGAAGATTTTTAGCTGGTCAGTTATTGAAGATTTACAATTTCTTGGAATTTTTTTTTAAATGTTATTTTCTTATAAGACTATAATTGCAATTGTTTTATTTGAGAAATCATTCCCGTCATTATTACACAAAGCTGTTAATCTGACAGTGTAATGATGTTAACTTTAAGGAATTGAAATTGGAGACCGGAGCTGTCAGTGCTTGACAGTAAGAAATGGGGCATAACTCTGTAAAAATAGAGAAATCAGAGTTAGGTGACTTGTGCCCATTATGTTAGAATAATCACAGAGAACAATGGTGTCAAGTTTCAGAATATTCCATTCAGTAGTTTAATACAACTTGCCTTACAAACCTAATAATGTGTAATGCCTATGTCATGCTGACCAGAGTGAGAACAATAGTTCTATTTATTCTTCGTATAGTCAAGCTTGAAACTGATTTTTGAGCAACAAACAGTACTGCATGGTCATATATTTTTGACAGACTTTGCTCCATACAATTGGCACAGTCTGTTGTTATTACAGCTTATGCTTAAAACATTAAAACAGAAGGATGTGTAAATATTGCTGATCTTTCTTCTAGTTATCACTCCAATATAATAACCAATTTGTAATTAGTAACTTATATACAACATCAATTTTATTTAGGCTTAAACTTTTGTATTTCCTAGTTATACATACATTTTGATTAATGAGCCACATCATGACAAAAACAACATAATGGGTTTGCGACCAGCATGGATCCAAACCAGCCTGCGCTTCCGCGCAGTCTGATCAGGATCCATGCTGTTCGCTATCACTTTCTCTACTTGTTATAGGGTTTGTAAGCGACAGGTTTTGTCATGGCGCGGCTCATTTTATGAGCCACAGCTGATATGTTGTATTATATTAAATAAGAAGCTGAGGATTACCATAATTAGAGATGGAAATATTAAATAAGCAAATATCACACAATATAAGAAAAACACAAGGTAGATTGTCTCTGATATTTCATCCATCAACTAAACAGGTGAATTTTTTCATGTTATAATCAACTTTTATTTCATAGCTGCCATTCTTTTAACAGTACAACTGAAAGTTATTACAGCTAAAACAAAGGAAATGATATTATTACATAATTTGTGTATTGAAATAGTTTTCCAAATACAACATACCCAGTAATATTTTTTCCAAACAGATAATTGATCATTTAATGAGGACATGGAATCTTTGCTTTATCAAAAGACTTGCATACAATATGCACAATATGTATATAATAGAAATAGGAGGCTATTCAAATAATACCTGTATGACAATTATATAAAATCAACAAGGCTGTTTGAAGGACATGCAGCTATATTTTCTGCTGCAGCAGACAGGAAAGTGTTTGTTGTTGTTTTTTAAATCTTTAACCAATCTTGATGATGGCTATCAAACCTGGCCAGTGCACTATTCACATTATAAGCACATTGTTTGTGTTATCAAATAAGTGATTAATTAGATGAAGTAAATTTAAAATCTTCTAAAAATTATCCACCAGAACAATTTTTCCTCCTATGCATAACCTTGACTTTTGGGAAATAACCTGGATGTTGTACTCCACACATCCTGTCATAGTAAAAATGTGGACAAGGTAGTCAATAAATTATGAACAGACACAAATGTGAACTTTTTAATATTTGCATGACCTTGACCTTAGGAGTAGCAAACTGGGTGTAATGCTCTGTCATAATTGTAAATATTTGTACCAGGTTTTTTTATAACCTTCCCAATGAGGACACAAAATGTGGACTTTATAACATTTGACCTTTACAGAGTGACCTGGCTGTTGTGCTCTGCATATCATGATGTTACAATTGTGATCATTTGTGCCAAGCTATTTTAAACAAAATTTTAGCAATTTAAAAGTTATGGAGCAGACCCAAAATGTGAACATAGTTACTTTCTACTATTTGACACAGTCAAGTGTCCCCTTGACTTTGGGTTGCAACCTGTTTGTTTGCTCCGCACATCACCAGCATTGTCATATTTAACAACTTTTAAATTATTAGCATTTTAATAATTATGGAGAGGACACTTATATGACAGACAAACAATCATACCAACATTATTGTTCTTTATGAGCCACTTTCTACATAAACCAGTGATCATCTTTTTACATATAAACTTATTGACTGCAGAAAGAAGCTCACAAACCAATTGGGTATTTAACAGATAATGTCCAATCAATATCCCTCCTCCGCCTTTGGAAGGGGATAACAAATACTTGTAGATGCTTGGACAAACCTCATTCCTGACATTTCAGGCTCTTGAAAGCAACAACTGAGAGTACAGAACTTGGTCAGAGTACGGAAATCAAATTCTAATAGTGCATACAGCTGTAAAAATTTCAGCCAATGCTTAGAGGTGAAAAAAAAAGAAGTGAAAAAGAAATAATGCTAGAAAAAGTTAAGTTGATGGATGGAATATCTTCACTACTCCTTAGTACTGATAGCCTGGGTGTTTTTTTTAATATATTCATCATATACTCATTACTAGGTTACAATTAGACCAATAGTTTTCTATGTATTTTACTAGAATGCATATTTTAAAAATAAAACATTGTTCCAAATGATGGAAAATATCAACAAAAGACAGCTCTGTGGTCTGTATCTCACAATTCATAACAAGATTTGGGCTTATCATCAACAGTTAGTAAAATTTATGAACTTTTATACTGAAATTCTTTTAATGCTTTTTGTTTCTCATGATTTTCCATCAAATGGCACAATCTACTACTGTTTATATAATTACCAAATCATTGGAAAATGTGACAGGGCTTGTAAATGAATTGAGAGTCTGTATTTCCCAAAATAAAAAAACAACAAAAAAACATTGTCATACATTTATGAAAATCATAAAAAAAGTACAAAATGTTGTTGTCTTCTCGTCAAATTTACTTTTTAAATCAAGTAAACAATAGATGTTTTTCAAGGATACTTTATGTATGTGCAATGTCACAAGTTTTCAAGATAAGTTTCCATCAGTTATTTGAAAGTGATTATTCATACGAAACTTTTCTATAGACTGTAACCTATTAGTTATGGAAGCAAGTGTCTTTTATGGTCAGAAAAACATTTGTTTTATAAAAGCTTTACTTCAAAATTCAAAGTGCTATTAACTAACTTCATGAGGGAAGGTTGACAGAAAACAATTTTATGATATGTAATTTTTTGGTTGGGTTTATTAAAGATAATGTCAGAATTGTCTTCAGCTGAACATGGTAAAACTAACAAGCTTTTAACAAAATAAACAAGCTTTTTTTAAACATTATCAAGTATATTTTTACCACTGTTGAAAGAATCTTTAAAATAAAAAGGAATGTTGAAAAACTAGTTTGCTGCAAACCATGATACATAAAATCATAAAGCAGTAGGCTCATTAAACATTTTCAAACAAAGTTTTATTTGACAAACAAAAATCTGCCAGACAAAGCAGCTTAAAAACCAGCTCCTGCTATGACAAGCTTGGTATGATTGTAATGTGTACAACACTGGTAAACTGATAAATGCATTATGGAGGTAGACTATGGATGCATTATTTCAGCACAAACTGGCTGCAAGATAGCAGTATGGCTTCCTTAAATTATAAGTTTAAATTGTACTTGTAACATTTTGGCCTTACATTGTATATACTTAAATCTAAACAATCCCTATAACTGAATTATGATGACTAATAAAATACAACATGAAACTTTACATGGGCTTGATGTGCATATTTTCAGGGTAGCTAGAGGCTAATCATAACTTGTTATTGAACAGTTTCTAACAACACAGGTGTGTTACACCTTCAATATAAGGTAAGAGCCAATCAGGTTGTAACCAAAAGTCTCCTGTCTAGATAATAATGATTATTGTTACAAATTATTGTGGAACAATTCAATTCATATTATTGAGGTAGTATTGGTCAATGTTTAAATTATATAATTTATATCTTATATATAACTAGGAGGAAGAAAATCTAGACATTGCATTACAAATAGGAACATTAACACAATGATGACAACACTGTACATTTGAACTTCTAAAAGACAACATGATTTACTTATAGACAATTCAATAACAACAAGAACAACACTGTACAAGCTATGGCAGCACATTGACAGCAACATTAAGTGCAGCCACTGTACCTTTTGTCCTAATGTTTTACCAATAAAAGGCTGCATGTAAACCTTTAACATAACAAAATGTAATGTACTGTTTTATTATGAAAATACTTATCTTGGTGTTAGTTTCAAAGAATTGAAGCAAAGACTTAACTTAATCTTATTTTAAAATATAAAAGGCCTTGACCCTTTACCCAGCAGAATTTTTACAGTGAATCTGCTCTGCTTACAATTCTGAACAGTCCATATGTAACTTATGATTTCAGTAACATTAAGTAACTAACAGAGATTAAATCAGGCTGGCCTGGATGTGAAAGAACATATGTACAGACTAATTTGAAGTAGATACTAATGTAAATGAGCAGTGAAATTAGTGTCATACAATTGTGAAAACTATATATAATGTGCATAAATACCAAAACTTGCAGACAAATTCACATCACAAAAGAAATTAATATCATTTCTTATCCGATATTTGAGAAGCAGTGTAACATACAGAAAATGTCACAAGACAATTCTACTCTTTTAGACAAATATATTTGCAATAATAACAGATTAGAAATTCAAAGGAACATTTCATATGCTTTGCAAAGTTTTTATTATTTCTTAGTTATCAAAATGAAAAAATGCTTTGTCAAAATCTGCCAAGGAGATGTCGATTACAGGTTTTTCAATTTTTCTGTCTGAGGGCCATCTTGTACAGCAGACCAGAATGATTTTAGCATTTTTTGCATGGTCATTCTTGCTGACTTTCATGAAAACCTACCCAGAGATTAAGATGTTGTTAAAAATTTATTTCAACTTTTAGCTCTGGAGGGCATCATGTTCAGCAGACTGGAAAGAATGTAGATAAAGTGAAGGATTCCTAAAGATCTTTCCTATCAAGTTTCATCAAAATCTTTTCCAGGGTTTAGAAGATATTTTGTATAAAAGTTTTTCAATTTTCAGCTCTGGTGGCCATCTTGCTAAAAAAGGCAGGAAGGTTGAAGCTTTCTTATCACAGGACCATCCTAGGGTAAATGCTGTAAAGTTTCCTCAGAATTGGCCCCAGAATTAAAAGGAGGCATTGTTTAATAAAATTTTTAACAAGAGCACCGCTAGGCCGAGCATTATATGCCCGAAAGTGTTTTTTTTTTAGTAAGGATGAAGCATTTGTAAGACATGGGAATTAGCTGTTCATCCTATAAAATTTTACAGCTGTAGGTTGATTAATACTTAACTTATTGAGCGGAAACTGTTTTCAGTTTTAAGGTAATAGTGACCTTGACCTTTGACCTTGTGACCCCATAACCAATAGGTGTCTTCTTCCTAATGTGGACAATCATCCTAAGAAGTTTGAATATTGTGGGCATAATGGAACTTAAGTTATGCTCCGGAAACTGTTTTCAGTATTAAGGTAAGAGTGACCTTAACCTTTGACCTTGTGACTCCAGAATCAATAGGGGTCTTCTACCTAATATGGACAATCATCCTATTAAGTTTGAATATTGTGGGTCAAATGGAACTTAAGTTATGCTCCGGAAACCGTTTTCATTTTAAAGGTAATAGAGACCTTGACCTTTGACCTTTTGACCCCAAAATCAATAGGATTCTTCTACCCAATATGGACAATCATCCTATGAAGTTTAAATATTGTGGGTCAAATGGAACTTAAGTTATGGTCCGGAAACTGTTTTCAGTATTAAGGTAATACTAATAGTGACCTTGACCTTTGATCTAGTGACCCCAAAATCAATAGGGGTCTTCTACCCAATATGGACAATAATCCTATGAAGTTTGAATATTGTGGGTCAAATGGAACTTAAATTATGCTCTGGAAACTGTTTTCAGTTTTAAGGCAATTGTGACCTTGACATTTGACCTTTTGACCCCAAAATCAATAGGGGTCTTCTACCCAATATTGACAATCTTCCTATGAAGTTTGAATATTGTGGGCCAAATGGAACTTAAGTTATGCTCCGGAAACCAAATTGCTAACGGACGGACGGACCAACGGACGGACGCCAGGGGGTATAACATAATATGCCCTTTCGGGCATATAAAAAAGAACGTCAGACAAAAGCCAATCACAATAGGTCACCTACACATATTCAGGTGAGCTAAAGATAAGCAATACTAACATAATTATGCATGCAAAGACATATGGAATGCAACTTTAAACAAAACTAGATATTAATTTTTATATAAAAAGTTATTTATTTTTTTACCTTCATTACGGAGAGTTTATTCATTTCTTTCTTCTTCTCTTCCTCTTTACGTGCCATAACGAGAGCAATTCTCCTCTCCTCCTCCTGGTATTGTAGAATAACATTAGTGTACCAATCTGACATCATTATACTGTCTACTTACACTTATATAATATCTAGTCTTCAACTGGTTTTCATTCAAATATTAAGAGCCATTGCTGTTTTATGTGTTATTGTTATAATACACTGCATTCATATAAATTATAATGTTTGCTTCAGCCATGTTTTTTCCCATGTTTTTCTTTGTTTTTGTAAATTATTTTTATAACAAGTATATAATTTCTTTATCCATATAGTGTTCTGATACATTATTTTCACCATCAGAAAATTGCACTTTTGCAGAAATTATTCTGTATTTCTACATCATATTAATATATTGAAAGTCTAAGTAAATGACATTCCAACAATTCCAGCCAGTTTATCAATGCTATTATTATGATGATAATTGATGAGAAGCCTTGAGAAATAATCCCCTGTATGAGGTACTTTATCCCCCTCTGAAGAGACATTCTGATAACATATTGCAGTTTTTATTAATTCAATATCTATCTCAGTGTTATATGTACATATAAATTAATTGTTCCTTATTCAGATTTTCAAAAATGATCAATATTTATATTGAATAACTAAGTAACCCCCGCCCCCAGGAAATATCTATAACCTGAAACAACGCTTTATCAATCCCTGAAATTCATGTTTGTACCATTCAACCAGCAATTGAGTTTTGTTTTTTATACATTATGTTTATATCTTTTTATTATCTTTTTACAAATACTGTCCGTATATTTTGTTTGATATATTCTTTATATTATGCAAATCAATTCACACTGACATATTATCATGATTAATATTCATGAACATGACTAAATTAGCATATTCATGGTATTTAATGTAACTTGTAGCAATACATTATGTGCTATTCAAATTTCAGTTACATAAAAATACTTCTGTTTCAAATCATTCCAAACATTAATTGTGAAGACATTTTCATGAAAGCATTTTAAAACACAATGTCACTAGTGATACATATTCATCCTTTAATTTACATTATTTATATTCCTGTCACAATTATCAAACATAAACATTCTTTTATAAACTTTCATGTCTTAAAATCCATGTGACATGACAAAAACATAGTATTTCCTTCATAAACTTTCATGTGGTGTTCTGAATCATGTCACATGTATCAAATATAAACCTTTCATTATAAACTTTCATGTCTTAAAATCCATGTGATATGTCATATAGTATTTCCTTTTATAAACTTTCATGTGGTGTTTAAAATCATGTCATACGTAATATAATATTCAATGCATATAAATTTGATATAAAACATTTCTTATTAATGGGACAAGCCAGGCATGAACCAAAACAATGATAATTTTGATTTGATGATAACAATATGGGTATATGCCAATTCTTGTACCATAACTGTATCAGTTTATAGTTTACATAATGTATATTGTTACTGGTTCAAGAATTTTAGCAATTACAAACCTTATCATAACATGCAAATTGATATCTTTTTTTCAATATACATAACCTATATCGATTATGTAATTAAAATAAGCAATTTGAGTTTATTGGATATCATATCACTTGTAAACAGATGATTTCCTGTAGTGAAGTCTTATCAGAATCACTGAAAAAAACCAGGACTGGTGTAACTTGTGAAAACATGGCCTTAAACTCTGAAGGGCTCAAACCCTTGATCCCTAGGTGGACAAGCAGACATCTTAATAATTACGACATTTTTGCTTAATGTCTTTAAAACTGAAAGAATTAATATGACAATGAAAAAACACACACACACATTTAGTTACAGCAATAAATCAAATATATATAGAGAACACATATGAAAAATATTTACACTTAAGGACATTTACCTAATTAAACGGTGGGAACCTTAATGGGAACACTATAATGGGAACACATCAGAAACACATAAATACTCATAGGAATACATTAGTTATATGCATATAAAACATATAAAGGACTCTTACAGCAATATCTAAGAATTAAATATAAATCTATGTGAATAAACAGAAATACATTAACATTAACATGATAAATAGGAACACATTAGGTCTATACATACAGATCACATAGAGAAAATATCTAAGAACTAAATATAAACCTAGATGAATACAGCAGATTTACAAACAAGAACCAGTTGAACTGGGTGATGCTCCCCAAATAGGTTTTGGACACAGAAAAGTATACCTCTTGTAGTTTCGAGTTATGTCCCGGACAAAGTTCAAAGTGCAATAATTCCAAATTTTGGCAGGACAGAGTTACCTTTCTTTGCACTGCTAGTCTACCCAATGATATCTATCTACCTACAAAGTTTCTTGTTCATATCTCTTATAGTGTCAGAGTTATGTCCCGGACAAAGTTCAAAATGTAAATTAAACAATGGGCTATAACTCCAAAAGGCAAGGTAGATATACGGTTCTCAGACACTGCACTGCAGCACATCTACCCAATGAGATTTATCTATTTACAAACTGTCTTGTTCATATATATGATGCTTCCAGAATTATGTCCTGGACAATGTTCAAAGTGTAAAAATGGACAAAGGGCAATAACTCCAAAAGTAGGCAAAGCAGAGTTATGGTTCTTTTGCACTGCACTTCTACCCAATGAGATCTATCTACCTACAAAGTTTCATGTTGATAACTCTTATAGTGTCAGAGTTATATCCCTAACAAAGCTCAAAGTGTAAAAATTAACAAGGGGCTATAACTCTAAAATTAGGCAAAGCAGAGTTACAAAGTTATGTCCCGGACAAGAAAAGCAGACGGACAAAGTGGCGACTATATGCTCACCCTTTGGGGAGCATAATAAAACACACATAGAAAAATCCAATATAGAGGAAAAACTTCAGCGATATAAATGATATAAACTTACCGAGACACGTTTCATATCGAGCTGCTTTAACTGCTGCATGTGTCGTAACACAATCTGTTTGTAATACTGTTCTGATGTCAATGGATTTCCATCCAATGATATCTCTGAAAGACTGGTCGACTCCCCAAGGCATGATATATCTTCAAAACTGAAATGATTGAACAGTTTGTACATGTAAGAACAGTATGAACAAATCACAGAAATATATATAATTCATCATATTCCTGAAACAGAGAAGTAATAACATGATTTTGAGTATTTTTGTTACATGGCTGCTTCAGATTCATTTCTATTATCAGTTTCTTATTGGTTAAGGTTGTTGACTGCAAATCACTTGCCCCTCACCGCTTTGGGTTCAAATCCTGCCAGGGACTTTGGATTCTTTCATGTAAGAAAGCTATCCATTAAGCTTACAAAATGTCAATGGTACTACTCAGGTGCCTGTTTATACCTGAAGAAAGTAAAGCTGGAAAGTCATCACATGACCTTTACAGTGTTGTTTTAACCAAAAGAAATTGTACAATTTTGGTAGTCAACAAAGAACTTTGCTTGTGAAACAAAAGTGCCAAAGTTTTCACAATATATACCAAAGTAGTCTTTTTTCCCCCAACATATTTTGATTTTTTTAACAATATTTGCAGCTTGTCAGCCAAGGATCGATTTCATAGAATCTTAAAAACCGGGGTTTCTGGGTAATTTTGGGGCCCCCGGCCCATTTAATTTCTGGGAAATAGAATCAAAAAGTTTTTGTGATAAATAATTTTGGATAATAGAACAATACAATGTTAGTCAAAATTTTTTTATAAATGAAAAATTATTAACTCCCCACTTTTAAAAATTAAATTATATGCAGCAAAAAAAGATCTTTATCGCAAATCAAACCCTTTATTTATGTTTTTTGCAAAATAGAAAAGGGGTCATTTTCACATTTAATTCCCTTTATTGTTTTTGCATCAAAAAAAAAATTTTTAATTTTCCCAAAAATAAAAGTTTTTAAAAAAATTTCCCCGTCTTTTAATAATTTTGAACTTTTTATAACGGGAAGTAAATTCGTTAAACCCCAAAAAGGATTTTATGCAAAAAAAGCCCCCCTTCTTTTGTGTGTAAAAATTTGCTGCATTCAAAGAATTCCATAAAAATTGACAGATCACTTTTACTTTATATACATCGCAAATTAAAGAAATTTCCGCTTCACACTTTTATGTTCCGTAGATGACAAGATAATTAAACAAACTTCCCACATTGAAAATCGAAATTTACATCGATACCACTTAAAACAAGATCTATACCCCCCACATCTCACGATTAAAATTGATTTCGGTCACATTTTTCCCAATTCATCAATACTTTCTTCAAATTTTACTGATAAAAATTAGCCGAAACATGCTTTAAATTCAGTAGGGTCCAAACACTTTTGTTAGTTAAATATAGGACAGACAATAACATATTGTATGTTCCATAGGTAATTTGTTTCCAAATTGACCCTAGGTCAGTAAAACACAATCAATTTTCAATCTTACTAAATCACAATTTGACATTAAAGCAATTTCCTGTATCTTTCACTATTGTAAATTCTGTTTAACACCTCCTAAAAGAAGATAATTGCAGTAGTTTTAACGCACAATAATGTTATGTTCCTAAATTTTATCTAGGTTATATTTAAAACCAATGTAAAACCCAATGACACAATTACAGTAAACAATACTTAATGGCAACAATATACCACTTTATTCATATGGCATGAATACTGAATAAAAACTCCATATATTATGTAATAACATAAATGCACCATTTGGTTATTTTCAGTCATAAAATATTCTCTACATTTTAATTTGGTCAACTATAATTCTCACGATTTAAAATTCCTACACTGTTTGGCAAGTACAAATCAAAATAAATTAAACAATTTAAAAATAAAGTGCCGAGTCAGTCGAGATTTAAATCTTGAAACATCAAAACATTATCCTATAGGCTCTCATAATCTCAAACTTGACGCTGCTACTTCACACGCTAAAATAAAATAGAGGTCAAAGAATATTTTGATAGCCCTAAAATTAGGGGTGGATCATTACACATATAGATCGCTAGATCCAAATTAAAATTTGAATTATTTGTAATAGTTTGTTAATGTACGAACATTACGAACATTTTATTTGTTTTGCTGGAGATCACAATACGCATTTTATTAGACGTCGTACTGATGTGTTTTTTGAAGATTATCTCAATAAAACCCTCATTTAATCTCAATCTTCACAAAACACAGATAAACATTAGCGTTGTAGATGTAGAAATGTGACAGCTCTAAATCTAAATGTCTTGAGGATTTTTTTAGATCACATAAATCAAACACTGAAAGTAATGTACGCCATCACAATAAGAGATTATTTCAATTCACTGTTAAAGGAGGCATTATGAATTCAATTCTTAAATACATATCTAACCCGAATGTTTTGATATTTTGACAACACATTCATCATATTAATGTAACTAACACACAGTAAAGTCGGGTTAAAATAAACAAAACAGAATCTGCTCACTAAGTTTTTAATCCTTACCATGCAAAAAAGTCCATCTTCCAATCTCACAAAACCATTTATCATTATTTAGGTAAAATTTTGAAATATGTACTGTCTGAATAGCATATAGTGCAAACCCTCAGAAAACAATATACCCAGTGAGCTAAAAATTCAGAGTTGATTTTTATTTCATCATTCTCTAATCAGATTGCTTAGCAGTGCCAGCCTATAAAATCATCAACTAGCATCATATCTAATTCACTAACACACAGAGAAGACTAATTATGACAGGAACATGTACATATTTGGTGTATTCAAATTCTTAATGCCAACAAACAACAAGAGGGCCCTGGATCACTCACCTGAGAAATAGGTTAAACGGTCAAAGTGGAGCCCCTCTACACCCCAGAAGAAATAGCAGAAATTAAAATGTTGGATTTACAGTAAACATAAGAAAATCAATGACCCCCTGGCACGGCCAATTTTGACCCTAAGGCTTTAATTTGAACAAACTTGGTAGACATCCACTGGAAGATGTTTCATGCCAAATATCTCAGCTCTAGCTCTTTCGGATTTTTACAAGAAGATTTTTTAAGTTTCCGCTATATACATATAAGGAAAATCAATGACCCCTGGGACAGGGCCAATTTTGACCCTAGGGTATTTATTTGAACAAACCTAAGGCTTTAATTTGAACAAACTTGGTAGACATCCACTAGTAGATGTTTCATGCCAAATATCTAAGCTCTAGCTCTTTCAGTTTTTTACAAGAAGATTTTTTAAGATTGTTTGTAAAAAATCTTTCGGTTGCCATGGCAACCAGAGTTCTTTATGGAATTTAATTCTTTGAACAACTTCGGTAGAGCTTCATGCAGGGAACATCCCTGCAATGTTTCAACAAATTTGGCCAAGTGGTTTAGTAGGAGAAGTTCTTTAAAGAAATTGTTAACACACGCACGGACGCATACGCAGACGATGGACAACAATCAGGCATCACAAATGCTCACCTTGTGTGAGCTAAAATCATAGACAGACAAAAGGACAATGAACATTTCTGAAACAGAATTGGGTTTTCAGATATTTAGCAAAATAAGTTTTAGTTCAACTTATGTCTAATGTGAAACAAGTTCTTGCAACCTGAACTGTTGTTATATTAGTAAACATATGAAATGAGTAATGCCAAAACCAAGTCTTTCCCTTGGCTGAGAGGCAGATGCCTTTACCACTAAACCAGCACTCTCTATCTAACAAAGTAAAAGTTCTGACATGCAACAAAATTAAGGTTTGAGAATTATAACAGATTTATGTTGCAGACATCTTACAGAATAAGGTTGCAGACAGGTTTCAGACATCTTACAGAATAAGGTTGCAGACATCTAACAAAATTTAGTTTCAGACATCTAATAGAATAAAATTTCAGTTATCTAATAGAATAACAGTTCATATATCTAACACAAAAAGTTTTTTACATCCTGCAGAATAAGGTTTAAGACATCGTTTTTTTAAACAGAATAAGGTTTCAGACATCTAACAGAATTTGATATCAAACATCTAACAAAATAATGTTTCAGATATATATTTATTTATTTAGTTCTCTAACAATTCAAATGACAATATAGTATACATACATACCATAATTTATATATAAATACATTTAAGTAGCTCTTCACCAGTTAAGTTAAAAACCTATCATTTTCTCATAGAATTCTTCAGTAACGGAGGTAAAAAAAATGCTCCTGACTTGAGTGCCATTTAAATAATGCTCTTTAATAACAAAGTCCAAAAAAAGGTACATATCAATTATTAGTGACCTGATCGATCAATAGTAACACTGTGACAAGGGGGTTAATTTATCAGTTGTGACAGTAATCTATAAAGACTATCTTAAATATTCAAAGATTTATCAATAGGAGACACAAACTTAATTGATTTAAATGGATCAATCAAAAAAAAAATTAATCGTAAATGTTCTTTCTGTACTCAATCTTAAAATAAACTACTAATATCAAGTTATAATGCTTTACAAACATAATTCTGTCATAATTTAAGAGTTAAAATACTAATTTTTGTCATAAAAGTCACTCAAAGTTATTGTTTCAATTTTGACATGAAAAAGTTTTAAGAAGTGATATAACTATGAGACTAAAATATAGGAAATAATAAATAGAGGATATTGAATGGAGTGTAGATACAATACTGAATATATTGAACTAGTTAAATAAAATTATATATATCTTGCAAGCAAAATACAAAATGTATTGTTTTATTCAACAAGTTCAATAAATTCAGTAATTAACCTACACGCATATAATATTCTATTTATCACATACCCAAACTAAAGCCTGCTTACAAAGCAAAAGAATCATTTTCCATTGACGCCCCTATAGTGTAACGCTAACATTTAGCACGTCTTTACACTATGTTTGTATAACGCAAATGACATCACATCAAAATATATGCACTGCTGTGCAATACCATTTGTATGGAGTCTCAAAATTATCATGTGTATGTGATAAAAGATGATATGAGCCGTGTCACGACAAGACCAACATAATGTGTTTGCGACCAGCATGGATCCTGGCCAGCCTGTGCATCCACACATTCTGATCAGGATCCATGCTGTTCGCTTACA